GCCAAGCCTGGGGTCACCAATGCCAGTTCGCAGGGAACAAACGGAAGCTTGGGAGAAGTCCTAGTCCCAGCCCCGCCACCAAAAACAACAGCAGCAGCAGCTACCAGGGACTGAAGGCGGCTCTAGGGGAGTTCTTGGCCCAAGATCAGAGGAGGTTTCCTTATCCGTGCCGGGGCCTGACTTCATTGGTTCTTGAGGAAGAGTCCTGACACGGGGTGCAGACATCAGCCAGGGGGTTTCCCTATGGACCCCTCTCCATTTGGGCTCATGGCAACAGTGGGTACTAATTGGGTCTTTGCCCCTGCAGGTTCCCTGACTCTGTTGGAAAGTAAGGGTTCCTTCTTGTTGTTCCAGGAGATCAAGCAGGGCTCAGTACTCCCCTAGTCCAAGGACACGTGTGTACACACATGTATGCACACACACACACATGCACACACATAACACACATGTGCACACACGTACACACACCACACATGCCATACACACATGCACACATGCACAAACACACACCATACACACACATGTGCACACCATACACATACACACACGCACACACACATACTCAAATACACACTGCTTGCTCTTTGACCTTAAACCCATAACTGAGTGTTCCGATGAGGAGGACAGCCGTCTCCCGGGGTTCCCTGTGCTGGGGGCCACACAGAGGAAATCGTGCCCAGTTCCACCTGATAAACCAAACCCCAAACCAAGCTCACCCGATGCCAAGTCAGTTCTGACTCAGGGCGCCCTTGCCCCAGGGCATCTGGTACCCAGTCCTTGGGGGAGTTATCACTTATCTTGGAGCAGCCTGGGGCAGCCCGGCCTGGAAGCTCTGTGCTCCAAGGACAATGGGTGTGGGCTTATCAAGCACATATTTGGTCCAGATAAAGGACATGACCAATGGGCAAAATGCACCCCTCCCCTCTTGGAGACCCACAGAGAGGCACGATTTTCCATGACCTTTCTTTCTGGCAACTAGGTAGAGGGTCATCACTCGTTGGGAGGAGGAGGGGGAGGAGGGAGAAACAGAGGCTCAGAAGCTGATGGCGCGCCTGCTTTGAGTGAGGGCTTGTGATCATGACTCGTGGACATGACACCTGCTAGTTCTACAAATGCCTGTGGGAAATAACAGATACCCCCCCCCCCAAAAAAAAAAAAAAGAGGCTTCAGAGAGGCCAGTTGCTTGCCCAAAGTCGGACAGCTGCTGAGAATGGCTCCAAACTCCAGGCCAGCTGAGTCTGCCTCTGTGCCTGCCGCTGGGCCAGCACTCCCCTCGGACTCTGCTGCTCTGGGACACGGAGACTGGCATTGCTGCCCTGTCAATGTTGCTCAGATTCCTGCTCTCCTCCCGCCTGCAGTTGGCTGCTAACCCCAAGACGAGGTTTTCTACAAAGTCTCAGACCCCACCCCCCGGGAGGAGGGGGGAGCAGTTTATCTCTGTCCTATAGGGTCACTAAGAGTTAGAACTGACTCAATGACAGTGAGTTAGGGCCCTCAGGCGGGGGGACAGCAAGGGGCGGGTTTGAGGGGAGAGATGCAGAGAATCTTAGAGCAGTCTTCATGGATGCTCTCCATAGAGAAATCCACGGATCTGTGCGAGGATCCTGGAATGGACCGTCAAACCACGGCTGAGTCTCCCAGGCAAGAGAAGCAACACTGAGGAAGGTAGTGGAGCGGTGAAGAGTTTCCGACAGCTGTTTTAACAAAGCACCACACTGTCAGCACCCCTGGCTCCTCCTGGAGGCTCGGAGGGGACAGTCTGCTGGTGGGCCCAGCTCCGGGAGGCTGCTGCCTCCGTGGCTTCACAGCCAGCGGTGTAGCACGAGCATCGGCCCTTCCCTGTGTCCCTCCCCACCTCTCCTGGCCCCTCTCAGGAAGACCCTGATACCTTCCCCATCTTAAGACCCTGACTTAAACCTTTACCTCCCCAGGTAATAGCCTCTCAGATTAGGGTTAGGAGGTGGGTGTCTGGTTGGGGCTGGGGGGCTGGGGTGGGCAGTATTCATTCAGCCGACCACACACCTCCAAGTTGCATGCATGTAGGTATGGCTGCAGTTCGGGGTCTGGGCTGTGTGGCCGGGGGTGGGGGGTGGGGAGACGGTTTGACTTTCATGCCCACCCCTGCCCTGGCACTGCATCAAGGGACTGTCTGGCTGTGGGCCCCACAAACAGGACCCTAGAGTTTGGCCCACTTGACAGACGAGAAAACAAATTTGAAAGAGATTTGCCAGGGAGGGACGGGTCAGGGGCCCTGTGCTTCCCCTGGCATCTGGGAACAGGCAGGCGTTGCTTCACGGTCTTCCATGGGAGCTGGGAGGCAGGATCTCTGAACGGGGGTTGGGGGTAGTGGGCGGTGCTGACCGCTGAGACTCCTCCCTCGGCCGTTCTCCATCCCCACCCCCCACCCCCTCCTCCTCCTCCTACTTGCAGGAGTCCGCCGTGGACACTCTCCCACCCAGGGCTCACGCGCTCCCGGGTCGCCCGTCCGCCCGAGATGCCTGCCCCCAGCCTGGCGATGGTCAGCGGCCAGGCGCTCCCGGCCTTCCTGCTGTGCAGCGCGCTGTTGGTCATCAAGATGTACGTGATCGCCATCATCACCGGCCAAGTGAGGCTGCGAAAGAAGGTACTGGAGGCCCCGGGGACCGGGCAGGGGACACTCGCGCCCGCTTTTCCAGGCTCTGGGTGTGAGCTGAGCGCCCGTCTTTCCCGAGTCGATCCCCTCGGGTTCTCGATGTCTGTCCAGCCCCCACCTTTTGGTCTTTTCTGGTGGACGAGCAGTTTACTTACCTGCCGGGCCCCAGGTGGGCTCGGGGCAGGGGTCTCTCGGGCGAGCTGCGGAGTGCTGTGGGCGGTCTCGGGGTTGGGGTGGCGTGGGATGGGGGGGAGCAGGTCCCGGAGGGGGGAGCACGTGACAGCGGAAGACTTCGTTCTCTGGGTGGAGTGGAACTGGTGGGGCAGGAGCAGGAGAAACCTTCAGCGGAAATTCCCAACTCCCTGGTGAGCCTACTTACAGTGTCCCCCCCTCCCGCCTCCTCCCTCCCCGCCCCTCCCCTCGCTGTACCCAGGTCGCAACCAGGCTCCACAGCAGTTGGAGAGGGGAGAGGAAGTTCCCACCCACCCCAGCAACAGGGGGCATGGAGCAGGGTTTAGTGGACCCTCCAGTCCAGTGGGGCAGCTGGGACGGGACAGACCCCCCGGGGGGCGGAGGGGGCTGAGCCTGCAGCCAGCACTTTGTTCTCACCGTTTGATGGTGATCCTCCCTGGTCATTTACTAGCAGAGTCATTTCCCCAAATGTTCTTCTTCCTCCCTCTGCTGGGTCCGCTTCAAAGGCAGGGCATGGCTGGCTTCCACAGCCCTAGTGGGGTGGACGCTGGGGCGTGGGCACACTCAGGGCTCAGCCCTGGCGTGGGTCCTCGCAGGCGTGAAGCTGGCCTGGATGAAACGGTGCCCACTGAGGGAGCCCTGGCATCCTGAGTGCTCCAGCCTTCTCCCTGCCTGGTCCTTCGGGTCCCTGTAGGCACCTGGAGGGCGCCAGCACCTGTCCACTGAGCCCTTCCCTGCGCTTAACCCCACCCTGGCCTTCAGGAGGCACAGGGCACCTCATTGTCCAGGTGAGGAATGTGAGCTCAGGGAGACCCCACTCAGGCGGGCAGAGGGCTGGACTTAAGCCCTTGTGTCTGGGGTCCAGAGCTCACTTCCTGCTGTGAGGGGATGTTAAGAGGGACAGGGGCCAACAGCTTTCCTCTTTATGTGAATTCAAGGAAGGGAACCTGCGGGATTGCCCTCCTGCCTGGCCAGTGGGGAAGCAGCCGGAGGAAGCCTTCCATCTTCTGGCTGGGACCTCCTTACTGGGCGTCCGCTCTGGGCGTCCAGATGCACCATGGGAGCTGACGGGTACTGGCTCTGGCCCTGGACATGTTTGAGTACTCCTCTTCCTTCTCTGTCAGATGGGACATCACCATCCTCCTAGCTGCACCACCAGGAGAAGTCCGTGCCTGCCCCATGTCGAGTGCTCCTTGTTGTTCCTGTGTGCCAGTGCGCTTATGCCAGCTGTCACCTGGAGGGGCGCAGGTCACCAGGTGTCTCTCCTGCAGATGCAGCCTGCTCTACCATTTTCAGCTGGCAGCAGAGTGCTTCCCCCTGGGCCACCAGGCTCCTTGTGTGAGCCCTTACTACCCATTAAGCATTTAAAAGGACAGCATGCTCCCCCCAACTACCAGGACCCCAATTTTGCCTTGCAGACCTGGTTAGACCAGATGATGCACAGCGGTACAGATGGGAATTGGAAACGCAGGGAATCTAGGACAGATGAACCTCTCAGGACCAGGGGTGACAGTGGCAATACCAGGAGGGAAAGGGGGTGTAGAAAGGAGGAATGGATCACAGGGAGCTACATATAACCTCCTCTCTGGGGGACGGGCAGCAGAGGAGTGGGTGAAGGGAGACGCCGGGCAGTGTGATATAAGATACAATAATAATTTATAAATTACCAAGGGTGCATGGGGGAGAGGGGAGGAGGAAGGGAAGGGGAGGGGGAAAAAAAGGAAAATGAGCTGATTCCGGGAACCCAAGAAGAAAGCGAATTTTGGGAATAATGAAGGCAACAAATGTATAGATGTGCTTTACACAATTGATCTATGTATTGTGATGAATTGTATGAGCCCCAATAAATTGATTAAAAAAAAAACAGGGAAAAAAATATATATAAATAAAAGGACAGTATGTGGCTTCCCAGGAGGGCATCCCTTGTCCTAACGAAAGTTGGCCAGGGTCAAAGTCGGCACTGTGGCTGGCTCCTAGCTGGACTGGCTGGCTGGTCTTTGAGTTCTGTCTGCAGGGGCAAGTGGGTCCTGTGGGAGCAGGCAGTCCCAGGGAGGTGCTCCTTGAATGCTGAGGCCCCGTGAAGGGTGCGTGCGGTGAGTCCGTGGACTGTGTGCAGGGCCATCCGAGCTGGTGCTTGGTTGAGTGAGTCAAGGGACAGCAGAGGGCTTTGGGGCATGTGGGACGTGATCCTGACTGTGCGTGACAGCCGGCCCCAGGCTAGGGTCACTTTTGGGGCAGGACAGGGGCAGGTCTGCCAGGCAGGATAAACCGGTGCTTGCAGGCCAGATGACACATGCAGATACTCAAGGTAAGAAGTAACAGGTTTGGGCCATTCAGTGTGCCCTTTAGAACAGCCTGCCACCCAGAGTCAGCTTCTGCGGTGGGCCTGCTACAGCCCGCTGGGCCTGAGTATGGCAGAACGCCGGAGATGGGTGGGGGCTTTCAGGGGCCTCAGTGTGAGCTTATGTGGCTGGTGGCATGTGCGGGGGGTGGGGGGGGTGGGGGGTGGGGGTTCTCCAGTTCTCTCTTTCCCTCACAGTGTAGAAGAGCTTCCGATTGTCCCAAATTTCTAAAGACATTGAGACACAGGGCGATCAGGAACGTGCCGTCTGTCAGTCAGAGCTGGGCTGTAAGCCTGGTCCGGAGGCTTTCTGTGTTCTTACAGGAAGCCCATCTGCTTTTAAAATGTTTCAGAAATCCCTGTGCGTCTTGCGGCTTCATCTCGGGCCCCTGTCCCTTGCGGTCTGTGTCTGTTGCAGCCACTCTGGCTTTTTCAGCTTTCCAACACGTCCAGCTTCCTCTGACCCCAGGGCCTTTACACGTGCTATTCTTCAGGCCCAGGGAGCTTTTGCTCCGACCCTCCTTTGATCTGGTTAATGGCAACACATCCTTTGTCACTGCCTCAAAGAGGTCTTGTTTAACTTCCAGACTCAGTCAGGCTTCACGGTGTGTTAGTTTGAGTACATTAGAGAAACAAATCCATAGAAACTCATATGTATAAGAGAGAGTTTTACATAAAGGGTAAGTGTACATTCAGAAAGCATCCCAAGCCAGTGCTGGCCAAGCCCATAAGTCCAACATTAGGCCATGTGTCCGACACCAATCCACAAAGTCCTCCTCCATCTCACAAAACACACCATGACGCTGACTGCAGGAGGAAAGCCGAATCAGTGAGCGCATAAGCATCTCAGCGCTGGCAGGGTCTCCACACGGCTGCTCTAGCACCCAGGGCTGCATCAGGGTAGATCCATGTGGCTTCTCCTCAGGGATGTCTTTCAGGAAGTGAGCCTTGCAAGCTGAAGCAGGGAACTGGCTAAGGCAGTTGTAGCTTGGCCTGACCATCAGAGAGTAAAAGACCTGAGACCTAGAAAGGCGAGGATCAATGAGCCATTTATCTCTCTGCCCTTCAATTAATCCCACATGTGTTTACTGGCCAGGTTGGCGCAATAAACCTTCACCATCTCACACGGGCAACCCCATCTTCCTCATAAGCCTGTGGACTTCCCCATCAGACGGGGAGCTTTACGAGAACAGAGATAAGAGGGGCTTGCTTTTCCCCCTGCTTAAAGGAGTGACCCCAGCCAAGAGGAGGTCTCCTCTCTGAAGGTGATTCTTACAAAGTGCACGCAAGGAGGGAGATGTATGGTTTGTGGCTGGTAGGTAGCCTTTCTACCCTTTTGGTTTGTGAATTGGTCCCTAAGGTTTATTTAACGGGTGTTTCTTCTGATCGTAGTGGACTCGGAGAGTGTCGGTCCTTTTGTGAATGACTAACTCCACTCGGCAGAGTGGTATCCAGGTCACGTGGTGTTTCATGGTCTCACCACTGTTTTGTAAGGACGCAAGAGGGACTGGCTCGTGGCGAGCTTGTGGCTGCCCCGGTTGCATGGACATCTGAAACTCACCAGCGGCTGCTGTATTTCAGGCTTTTGCTAACCCGGAGGATGCCCTGAGACACGGAGGCCTCCAGTATTGCCGGAGTGACCCAGACGTGGAACGCTGCCTCAGGCAAGTGCCCCCGGACCCCTCAGACTATGCGACTTGTGACCGGTGGGTTGGACATCTCTGACTTGAAAGAAAGGATGCGGGCACTTGCACATAGTCATCGAACTTCCCGCTCTCCGGAGACAGGTGTGTCTCCCCAGAGAGACTTTCTGCACTGACAAACACACGTGCTACGCTTTTGGACTGCTGGAGGCGAGGGCGGTGGTTCAAACCCGCCATGGGAGAAAAATGAGGCAAGGGTCACTGTGTAGGCCCTTATATAATCAGAACTGACTTAACAGGGGTGGGGAGTCTTTCTTTGGATGGAGTACCTGAGTGGAGCCAACGGGCGATGCTTTCAGCTGCCAACCCAGAGGTTATGCGTTCATCTAGAGGTGCCTCAGAAGAGAGGCCTGGCAACCTATTTCAGAAAGCCCCATCCACTGAAAGCCCTAGGCGGTACAGGTCTACTCCGATGCAGAGGGGACTGCCAGGCATTGGACTTGGCCTGATGGCAACTGCTTAATCCTTCTCTTCTCTGAATGGTACCATGGCCAAGCCTCTCTATTGCCTTTGTGTGCCTGGCTGCAATCAGCAAGGTGCCTGGCTGCAATCAGCTGGTCCGAAATAACGTCAAATGATGCTCAAAGCGCCCTTCTCCCAACTGGTGACTGAGGTCCGCTCTGCACACTGCTGTCCACTCACTCCTCACAGGTTTGGCGAAATCCCTGCCAGTATAATGGGTCACAGTGTGTGCTGATGCCCTTTAGCTTTAATGGACACTGTCTTTTACTCCCAGCGAGGCTGACCCTCTCATCACATGAGGAAAACAGTTTTTCTTGTTGAAAAAAATCTGAAACCTGTGAGAGTTACAGACAAGTTGGATCACATTGAAACTACATCCAAACCCACGGCCGTCGACTCCAATTCAGCATAACGCTCCCTAGGGTTTCTGAGGCTGTCTGTCTTTATGGGAGCAGACAGCCTCCCCTTTCTCCCTAGGAGGGGCTGGTGGCCTTGAACCGCTGACCTGGCAGTGTGCAGTCTAATGCTTACCCAGACAGCAGCACCAGAGCCCCTACATGGGGGTGGAGGTGAGGGACTATTCACAATCCTGATCACTATTAATATTTTGATCTATCTCCTTTTTACCCTTCTATGTCTAAACACAGAGACACGCCTCCTTCCTCATCTCCATCTTGTGTTACCCCAACTTCTGAGCTATGGCCTGTTTATGTTCCATCCGTAGTAACCATTTCTCTAATAGTTGTTGTTGTTGGTTTTGATGAACTCTTTCAGGGGCTTCCAAAAGGTCAGGGGTATTTTTCATCATCTCTGTGTGTCCCCAGCACCTTGTGGGAGCCCGCTAGGACGGGGCAGGACTGGGCGGTTTCTTGTTCTGTGGCTGAATTGGAATCAACTCCACAGCCCCTAAGAATGACAGTGTGTCAAATAAAACTGGGCCAGGATGGTATACTTGAGCAGGGTGGGGGGGGAGGGATTCAGATTTTTTTTTTAAGCTCACATTTTTTCATGAGCGCTTTTTAAGTCAGTAAATACTGCTCAGAAATGATTCTTTAAAAGTGGCTGTAAGAAATTTCATTCGTGAGAGGAAGTGTGAGTGGAGACCCAAAGCCCATCTGTAGACAATTGGACATCCCCTAACAGAAGGGTCACAAGGAAGAGACGAGCCAGTCAGGGTGCAGTATAGCACTGATGAAACAAACTTTCTCTAGTTCTTTAATGCTTCCCACCCACCCCCAACGCTCCACTATCATGACCCCAATTCTACCTTACAAATCCAGCTAGACCAGAGGATGTACATGGGTACAGATAGAGCTTGAAACACAGGGAATCCAGGACAGTTAACCCCTCAGGACCAATAAGAGAGTAGCGATACCAGGAGGCCATGTAAGTGGGAAGGTGGGGGGAGAGAGGGGGAACTGATCACAATGATCTACATGTAACCCCCTCCCAGGGGGACAGACAACAGAAAAGTGGGTGAAGGGAGACATTGGTCAGTGTAAGACATGAAATAATAATAGTAATTTATAAATTATAAAGGGTTCATGAGGGAGGGAGGGAAAATAAAAAATGAGCTGATACCAAGGGCTCAAGTAGAAAGAAAATGTTTTGAGAATGATGATGGCAGCATATGTACAAATGTGCTTGTCACAACAGATCTATGTATGGATTGTGATAAGAGCTGTATGAGCCCCCAATAAAATGATTTTAAATAAAAGGAAAGAAGAAATTCCATTAGAAGCCAGACAGGGTAGTTGGTTGCTGGATAGGGGTGGGACAGGGCTGGGCACAAACTCTTTAATAGTTCTAACCTTCTAACCGCATTCTCATGCGTCAGCAGTAGAAATGGGTGGGACCCATCCTTTAAATTATAGAAATTCTTTTCTGAAAAGCAAATGTCTGCAGCATAGTGGTTCTGCATTGGTCTACTAACCACAAGGTCAGCAGTTCAAAACCACCAGTCACTTCAGGGAGAAGGATGAGGTTCTCTGCTCCAGCAAGAGCTACAGTCTTAGAAACCCACAGGGGCAGCTCTTCTCTGTCCTGTAGGGTCATTGTGAGTCAGAGGGGACTCCAGAGCTGTGAGGATTATTTTTGGCTTGCTTGTTGTTTTCCATGGCCATGCTCTGGAAACTAGTATACACACTCGTGGTTTCGAGAATTACAGCAATCTGTAATGTAGGGAGTGAAATTCCTTGCTGAGCCATTTTGCTAATAGAACCCCCGTTAGTATGGAGTTCAATTCTCTGTCTAGTGTTCATTCATTCCTTCTTCATCGGTTCACTCATGAGAACCTACGATGTCACATGTGTGACTCAAACAGAAAGAGCCGCTTTCTGCTCTGACCCTCACGGGTGGCCTCTGCCTGTGTCCCTCGCTTCATTCCGCTGGACTCTCATTGGCGCCAGAGAGAGGGAAAGCGAGCCTTCGAGGTGGCCAGCCCGAGGCAGCTCTCACCAGCCACCAAGAGGCTCCCTCTGCCTCCTCCCAGGCTGCAGGCTTCTACGTAGCTCTGCGTGCTTATTGCAGAAGAGGATGTGTGGACGGAAGTACAAGGGGCTGGTTGACTGAGTGTCACCAGGCCTGTGAGAGATGTGTCCATGCACCCAGGAGAGCACTTCCTTCGAATAAAATAGCCCGTCATCTATAGCTGTTAACTCTTGTCACATCAGCCCCCGACTCATGGCAGTACCCCATACCCAATGAGGTAGAACTTCCGGGAGCCATGGGGTTCTCCCTGGCTGGTTTCCATCAGGGGATCGCCAGGCCTGTCTTCCTCAGAAACCCAAACAAGCGGACAAACCCCCAACCCGTTGCCATCTGGTGGATTCTAACTCGTGACATATTATGGAGCAGAGCCGTCCATAGAATTGTCTTACCTATCTTCTTTATGAGGGGCCCTGGTGGAGCAGCGGTGATGTGTTGGCGGCTAATTGCAAGGTCAAGAGTTTGAAACCACCAGCAGCTCCGAGGGAGAAAGATGAGACTTTCGACTCCCCA